TCTCCCTCCTGCCCACCCAGGCGTGGCCAGGACCCAAGAGGGCTAGAGTGTGGGGCTGTGCTCAGAGCAGCTCGCCTCCAGCACTGCCTCTGTGCCAAACCCAGTTCCAGCTGCTTTACACATTCCAACTCATAGCAGCCCTCTGACAGGTAAAGGTCATCCTCATTTTACAGATGGGGAAACTGAGGCATAAAGGTGTCCAGTCACAGCTAGGAAGTGGCAGAGCAAGAATATGATGAATCCGGGCAACGTGGCTCCGGCATCTGTGTGCGCTACACAGCCTACCCTGAGAAGAAAGAGAAAGCAGCCCCCTCCCTTCCCAGGAGGCTCGGGGGTGCCCGTGAGCCCCAGCAGGGCTGTGGGAGCTGGATGGCAATAGCCCTACACTGTCACGATGCCACCGTGCACAAAGCCTCACAGGAACCATGCGAGCAGGTGGAGGAAACACAGCCATCCAAGGCGCCGTCCACCGGGGCCTATCGGAGACGATCCCTGTGGAGAGTGGTGTGCAGGACACCTGGGCTCAGGGAACGCACTAAATCCACCTCCCAGGAAGGACTGCCTGCCTCCTGGGAGCCTCCAGGCCACCTGGACTGGGGTACATAGCCCCTGTCCTCACAGCGTCTGCAGTCTGACGGGGAGACAGCTCCTGTGTCCAGTGTCTTGTTAGTCAAAGAAGGACATCCACATTTCTTGCTGTGACGGTCCCCAAGTTGGCAGGTAACAGAGCACCCCATACTCAACCTGAGTCAAAGATAGAAGCAGGCTCTTCAAAGAGGGCTGTGGGTGTTAGGGGGTCACAGAGGAAGCAGGATGGAGTGGGAGTTAAGGCTGGATGCTGGGAGAGAGGATGGGGTGGGAAGGGGGGAGCAAAAAGACCTGGAGACTCGGGTGAGTTCAACAGAGCCAACTACGAGCCCCCTGACCGCAGCTCCCGAGGGAGGACCTTTGGGCGAGGTGTGGCGGGGCCCAGTGGCCGCTGCTCTTCCCCCTGCGTTTCTTCTTCCTCTTGAGGGTTCTTACTTCAACTCTCGCCACTGACATCACACTGGCCCCAATAGAACGTTTCCTTTAAGCATAGCTGTGGCTCAAATATGAACCGAAACCTGGCACCGGTGGAGACCAGCTGGAACTTATAGAGGCTTTATTAAACAATATTTGTTGAATGAATAAGTACTAAGGGAGAACAGAAGGGTATTAACGTATCATGTCCACAAGGCTTAAAAATAGCCCAGCTCGCAGAGTCTGGGTTTCAGAACCTGGCCCTGCCAGGGCTTGGCAGGCTGTGGCCTGGCCTGGCCTGGGCTCCTTCCTTCTGCCTTCAGAGGGAGCGGGGAGGAGCCAGTTGAGGCCCAACACCAAGGGGCCGGGGGACGTCCATACTAGTCCCCAGGAAACCACAGAGCGCCTCTGCAGCCCACCTAATCACTTCCTCTCATCCCTACTTCCTGCCTTGAGGAAAGACCCTGTTTGCAGGGGCATGGCTTTCCTTTGGTGGGTGCAGAGGTACCCCTGTTTCTTAAGCCAGGCCTATTCAGGAGGAAGCAGAACCATGCCTGCTCCTACCCAGAGTGTCCTGGGCAGGACCAGGCTCTCAGGAGAGCTCAGACCTGAGTTTAAACAGTCTGTGCTGGTCTCAGTGTAAGCACAAAACCAACACTGACAGCTCCAGGCTCAAAGCCTGGTACTCGGCTCCCAAGGGCCTGGTTTGCCCCACTCCCCTGCTTGCCTGTCGGCCAAGCCAGAAGCACAGACCACACTGGCTGTTCTGTGTACGTTGTGCCCACCCAGGGGGGAGAAACACCTCACAACCCTGGGTTCCCTGAGGGATGAAAGGGCTGCCACTACTCTGCCCTATCAACCATTCCCCTCCCCTCACAGGCCCCCTTCTGCATTGGACTTCCAAAGCTGTGTTGTTGCAGGTAATTAAAGGGTTTTAATTAAATTAGGATCCCATCTGGCTGGGATCAGTTAGGCCCTTAACGAGGATTGTGTGTCACCAATATCAGAATGTGGATGGGGCCTCAGATATGTGGGGGCTGAATTTGGGGACAGGGGGCCTTTCAGACAGGGGTAGAGAATCCCTCTGAGCCCCTCAGGGGCTCCCTGCAATGCAGCAGCAACTTGTCCCATCTCCCAAAATGGAGGCCACATGCCTCGATGCTGGAGAGGGGGCAGAGGACCAGAGCTTCCCCAAGTTCATTATTGTCTGAGTCTATAACATCTCTGAAGTGTGGCAAGATATGTGATCACTGTCTCATTTCTGCAGCTGAGGAAACTGAGGTCCATAGAAGTGACGTGCTCAAACACATCCATTGATTTAACTGCTGGAAATGGAGACCCAATAAGATAGAAACTTGATAGAAATAAGAAATTATGTTTTTCTCTCACATAAAAGTCTGAAGGTAGGCAGCCTAGGGTTGGTATGATAATTCTATCCCACAGATTTTTCAGGGACCAAGACGTCTTCCAGCCATTGCTCTGCTGCTCCTAAGCTATATCTCGTGGCCTGAGATTGGGCCGCTAGAGTACCAGTAATCACATACATATTGCAGACAGGAGAATGGGAGATGAAACAAAGGAGAAGGGCCAAAGGGCATGTATCAACTGACTTAAGATTTCTGGAGGTTGCCAAATAATCCTCTGGCTTACGTGTCACTGCCCAGATCTTAGTCACATGGCCACATTTTGGTGCAAGGCAGGCAGATAAATGTATTTATTTCAGGCAGCCATGTGCCCAGCTAAAAACTGAGGATTCCATTAATATGGAGGAAAGGAAAATGGATATTAAGGGACAATTAGCAGCCTCTGTTACATGCAATATGGGGCAGAACCAGGACGGGAACCCAGGTCTCCTATGTCCAGCCTGGGCCCTTTCACCTAGCCACACCAGAAGCTCGGCTGACGTTAACATCAACCCATCTCCAAAAACAAAGAGGAGACAGTAACATTTGTTCAGCAACTCATTTAATTTTCCCAACAGTGCTCCAAGGGAGGTATATCCCTAACTTTTTTATGTAAGGGGGGGTCTGGGGAGATTACATCATTTGTCTAGGCCACCCAGTTACTAAATTACAGACCCAGGATTGGGGCCCAGAAATATCTTCCCACAACTCATGCTGCCAGTTCATTGGCAGCCTCTGTGGTTCAGGAGGTGCCAGCTTGTCCCTTGGAACTATCCAGCCAGGTGGCCCTGAGATGATGGACTGGGAGACTTTGAACTAGGCATCCTTCACTTGGACTGTTATCAGGTCAGGCTTTGAGCTTGGCATGCCAATGAAAGAGGGTCCCCCATGGGACCAGAAGCCAGCCCCCAACAGCTGAGTGCCAGGTGATGGCAGCAGCTGCCACTCGCATTATCAGCAGGTGCCGCCCTCACCCGATTTTGACTCCACCTGGTGGGGCTGGTGGTGCCTCTCCTTGCCTGTCACCCCGGCCCCCGGTTCTCCTGGCAGTACAGAGTCTTCAGAAGTAACATTTCTCTCTCCCACTCCCAGCCATGACATTGGATCCCTTCCCAACACAGAGTAACTGGTTCGTTGTGTCTCCCACAACCCTCTACACATATCCACTTGATAATCCGGGTCCCTGGTTACCCCACCACCCTCAGTTGCCTCCACCCCCCCATTTCACCCTCTTCTCCTAGCTTCCCTACCCACCTGCCACCTCATGCATTTCTGAGTAACGGGCCTTGCCACAGGAGTCTGCCACATGCAAGGTCACCAGCATTCCTGCCAAGGAGGGGGAAGGGGGTGACTCAGTTCCCGCTTGATCATCTCAGGAGAGGAGAACGAGGAGGGAGGGAGGACAGAGGAGGGAGGAGGAACTCAGACAGTCATTCGCCTTTGCCTTAAGCTTCGTCAAGAGGAAGACTCAGCCTTGCTGACAGCTGACCTAACGTCAGCGTCACAGACTGCTGGGAAGAATCACCCCATTAGAGATGGGAATGCTGAGGCCCAGACAGCGTCTATGCCAAGACCACAGGGTACAGGTGCTCTCCAGGTGTTCTGATGCTTAGAGAAGAACAAGCCCCCCCTCCCATGCCCATATGCAGTTCTTGCCCTCAGGGAGACCCCAGTCTGCTGAGGGAGACACCGACCCTGGCTTCAGTCTGATGTGGGAGGCAGAGACCCTGGCCCTAGGGGCTCCCCGGTCTGATGGGGAGATACCAGGCCGTGTCCTCAGAGAGCCCCCAGTCTGGTAGGCTTGTCCCAGAGGCTCCGCTCCGAGGGAGGAGACGAGGCCTTGCCTGGGGCAGCCCCCAGCTAGGTTGAGTGGCTAGAGGAGCAGGACCATGGGACCAGCAGCCCAGCCGCGGAAGGGCAGTGGTGGAGGCGGCCAAAGAGTTGGGGCGAGGGCAGGACCTAGAGCTTCTCTCTGGGAAAACAAGCTCCTTCCCGAGGCATCTACTCTTCTGTGAGTATTTGAATGGCAAGAGGGGTCGGTCCAAGCGCTTCACAATGCCTGGGGGTCCATCCCCCGGGGGGATAGCATAGACATTGCTCACCAAGGGGGCAGAGGTTGGCGCCTTTGTAGCCAGAGGCAGTGGGATAAACCCCTTACCCTTGTGAGGACACAGGGGGTGCAGGAAGTATCATGATGGCGAAAATAGGAGGGCCCAGAGGGCAATTCCAAAAGAATTAGGATTTTGGAGGAAATCTGTTAGCCGCCGGGTGATGGGGAAGGCAGAAAGGGAGGCTGAGGCAGCAGGGTGTGCACGCGGGTGAAATGAAGTTATTAAAATGAACCCACCCCCTGCGCAGGCAGAACTGTGTGCCAGGCAGGCCAGCCCTCCAGCTGTCAGCAGCACCTGGCTCTCCACAGGAGGAGAGGAGCCAGAGGGGGTGGGTCAGAGTGTCCCCAGGTCCTGCTGATAGTTCAGTCAGGCCAGACGGAGGAGGGGCCCAGGCCACCATCCTACCCCTCTTACTCCAGTGCCCACATGGCTGGGCGGGGGGGGGGGGAGTCTGGTGGGTGGGCATCTGCAGGTGGGACAAAAACCAGATTCCAGCAACCCTAAAACCACGCAGCAGGGCCCAAACCCCTGGGCCTCTCTGACCTCTAAGCACCATCCCCAGGATGGGACGGGAGAGAGTGGCATGGAGGAGTGCGAGAGTGCCTCAAGTCTCTGCTCAGGAGAGATGGCCCCAGGAAGCATGGCACAGGGGGGAAAAGCTGGGAACAGGAGTGTGAGCTTCTGGGTCACTTCATAGAACAAGGCGGCGTCAAAGGCCTCAGCCAGCTATGTTCTGCACTGTGAGGGGGACAGGTCCATGCTCAGCACTGGTGGGCAGGGGAGACAGGCTGAAGGTAGCGAGGCCATCTTCCCCTCATACTAGGACTCACCTCACTTGGCTACATGGCCAAAAGGGACCCAGGAGACCTGAGTGCTGCCCTCCCAAGAGAGCAGATCTAATATGGACTCCAGGGAGGCACTGTGGTCCTGGTAGTGGGGGGCCCAGCTTTCCCCTCATTGAGCCTCAGAGGGCCCAGCCAACTCCCAGAAAAGGTGCCACAGATAGCTATCCATTCTGAGGCCTCCTATTGGCTAGGGCATGAGAATGGCTGCTTTCAAGGCCCCTTCTATCCCCACTCCACCCTGGCCTGTTCCTTCACTAGCAGGTCATCAGATTGAAAGCCCAATACTCCTGATTCTCTGAAAGGATCCTTCCCAGGAGACTTCCCCAGGACAAGCAGATGGGTGGAAGTCACAGTTGGGAGAGAGCATCAGAGGTGTCTCCTCACCCATTCGCTTTTGCCTTCAGCTTCATCAGGAAAGGAACTTAGAAGTCATCTGACCGGTCCTCACAGTATGGTCCCGGAGCCAGGAGCCTCAGAGTCTACCTGCGCACTGGTTAGAAAGGCAAACTCTTAGGCCCCGCCCAGACCTACTCAGGGATGGGCCCCAGAAATCTGTGTTTTAACAAACCAACCCTCTTGGCGGCTCAGAGGGCCACTCACATTCGAGAACCTCTGGGCTGAGCCAGCCCCTCAATTTATAGAGAAGGAATGGAAAGAACCCCCGAGAGAGTGGACTTGTGCAAGTCCAGAGCAAAATACTAACCCAGCTAGGACCCCCGCGGGGCCTACGCACCCATGGAGCCAACAAGGAAAAAACAGCCTTGTATGGCCCATCCCACCTCCCAGCCCTCTCTCCCCGCTGCTTTGGCTGCGCCAGGCACAGTGTTCACGGCCCTTCCCAACAGCTGGGAAAAGGGCTGTGGAGGGAGCCCTGGTGCCTTCAGGGAGCGTCAGCTCCCACAGCTGTTTGAACCTTGTGGCTCTGGTTTCCATGAAATGGCCAGCCATCATCTGTGAGATGCTGGCTGGAGCACGGGGCGCCTGGGGCCCTTTCCCCCAAACACTCAGAATCCAATGCCCAGGGAAGCTTTATTCCTTGCTCCAGGAACAAGATGCTGCACACAGAAGTCGACAACCGGGTGATTTCACAAGACCTCCCTCCCCCCACCCAACCCACAGACAGACACCACAGAACAGGTTTAGCACGCCCTCCAGAGTCTGGCCTCCCCCAGCCCCACAGCCCAAGAGGGAAGGCAACATCTCCATCTGGAGGAGCCCCAGTCTGACAGGCAAGACTGACTAGGGAAGGACGGCTTGCTGGACAAGGATGCTCCCAGAGGAGCCAGCAGGGGTCGGGGCCGGGGGGGAAGGACACAGGCGCACAGGCGGGCTTCCACCTGTGGCCTTGGTGCTGGGAGAACCATGATCACCGTCTGTCTCAGCTTAAGGAAGGGCGTCCCATCAGCATGGGGACGGGTGGGGAATCAACGGCAGGAGAGGGAGTTTGGGAAAGGGGTAGCCTGGCTGGGGCAGATGGTCTATTTGTCAAGACATTGAAGACTCCAAGGTCACCACTTCAACCTCAAGCCGAACTTGGTCCACAGTCCAGGACAAAAGGCTCAGGGCTGCCCACGAGCGAGCGGGGCTAGAAAGTTCCTCCTGCCTCCGCCCCCCCCCCAGTGCTGGCTCTCAGGAGGCCCCCATTCAGCGATCCTTCATTGCCTACTTGGTGTCCATGCTGATGAAATGCCCCTCTCCTGGTTGCTGTCCCGTCAGGATGGAAGGGAATAAGCCAAGGTTTTCGGCTCCTCTCCGTGACTTTATTGGGGCCATGCTGGTCTGTCTGCCTCAGGGGCCTCCTTGGATGCAGCATCTGCCTGTCGCTCCGTGAGGATGCCCTGTGAGGCTGCACAGAGAACCCACTCCTCCTCCAGTGCACCTGAGTCCTAGTCACTCCACAACCTCAGGTTGGGGCCAACACGTGGGACCCCTTTCCCATGACTTCAGAGGCCCTGGTCCCACTTGGCATCCACTACTCTCCACCTGACTCCCTGCCTGAGACCCCTCCCCTTCCCTGCCCAGTGTCCAGACAGATGACCTCCTGTGTGGGCAGGCCTGTCCTTCCAGCCCTGGCCTGGCCTCTGTGGCCTGCCCAGGGTCAGCCGGAAGGGTAGTAGGGAGTATCGCTGTGGTAGTTGTAATCTGGGCACACCTTCTGGACCAGCCTATAGTCCGTGCTGTAGAAGGCAATGTAGACGCAGACAACTTTGAAGGGCTGGGAGCAGCTCCAGGTGGCTGAGCTCTGAGCGTGGTCTCGGGAGCAGGTCTTGGCTGGGTCGTGGGTGCACAGCGAGGTCCGGCGGCCCCGTTCCACCTTCTCCCACTCCATTCGGCAGTTGAAGATTTTGGAGGCCTTGGCTTCAATGAAGATCTGTTGCTCCTGGTGGAACTCTACGGCTTTACCGGGGGGCACGAGGCTGATTGAGATGTTGCCCTGGCCCGTGGCGTTGTGTCGGAAGTGGACGCTGAAGGTCCCGTTGCCATGGTCCACAATCTTCCCCGTGACAAGCAGGTTCAGGGCAACCGTCTTGATGTTGGAGTAGAAGTCGCCCCAGCCAAAGATTTTCTTCACCTTGGCCGAAGGTGGAGGGCTATGGTTCGGGCGCTTGGGGGGCTGCCCAAGGAACCCCCATGCCTCTCCAGGTGGAGCCAGCAACCCTAGAAGAGTAGAGTTGACCATGGGGCGGGACTTAGGTGAGATGTGGCTCCGCTTCCGAGGCATCCGGGGTCGAGGCTGGCTCTCGTGGTCATCATGCTCAGTGTCCTCTGAGCCAGGAGGACCATCATCCTGGCCACAGATGACCTGTGGAGGGAGTGGGGAGGAGTGTGAGTGTTCTGTCCCCAGATGACCCAGGAATTCTGGTCCATTGCTCCCCACCACCAGCATCATTTCTCTCTGTGTCTCTTCCACTGGCTAGGGGCTGAGAGCCTCCTACACATTGCCCACTTATGCCGAAGGTAGGTGTATACTCTGGCTTGTGTCGTGGTCCCATCTCATGTTCTGACACTCAGGTCACCCTCACTGTCTTGCCTCTGGCCGCTATTCAAAGTCTAAAAGGATGGTCAGGAATTCTCTCTAGTGGACCATGGTTCCAGGGGTACATGGCCCCTACTCCTAGGGAGCCCAATCTGGTGGGGGAGACCTGGCTTCTGATCCTCAGAGAGCCCCTGTCTGATAGCAGAAGACTATCCCTGTGCTGATATAGCCCCTAGACATTAGAGAGGTAGAGTCCTCGTCTCTGTGAAATTCCAGGCTGATAGGAGCACAGTCTCTGCCTTCAAAGAGTCCCAAGACAGAGAGGGGAGTTCCATCCCTATGCCGTGGAAGCCCTCAGTTTGATGAGGAGGTACAGCCTCTGTCTTTTGGGACTTGCCAGTCCGCTGGACAAGATACTAGCCTATCCTAGGACAGTTTCAACCTCAGAGGCAACAAGAACCAACAGACAACAGAATAAGAAAATGGAGCCCAGTGACATTCTGTCTCAAGTACAAATGCAATTTAGGTTTTGGCAGGAGGACCAGGGGGAGACTTGGAGTGAATTCCACACCCAGGATGGCCAAAGGAGCAGAAAGCCAAACACTCCCCCAGGGACCACTGATGATGACATAGTGCATTACTTGCACTATGAGGCAGGAGTCATTATTCCCATTTCACAGATGAGGACACCAGCACTCAAAGGTTACATCACTACAAGGCTAAGTCACATAGGGTCAGCTCTCCCACTCCACTGCACACTCCTGGCCTCACAGACCTGATGTGTCCTTTTATAGGAGTTTTATCCAAGCCCCATCCCCACCCTGATCTCCTGTAAAACTGCCAAGGCTCTGCGGGAGCAGCTCTGGCAACAAGCGACACCTGGGGAGGCTTCCTAGAAGAGCTGTGGGGAGGGCCAGAAGGACAGCCTGACCGAGCTCAAACACGGGACAGCTCTGGAGGGCACCAGGGAGCAGACAAGGTTTCCGAAGGGCAGCTGCCTGGTGTGTGTCTGCTCAGCTTTTATGAGAGTACTCGCCCTATGGTGTCTATGATACCAGAACCAGGGGCACCAGCTCACAGCTGGGCATCATCTAGCTTTGCTGGTGTCCCTGGGGTGAGGATGGGGGATGCCTGAGGGCTGGGGTCTGGAAGGCTCCAAAGGGGGTTGAGGTCTTGCCCCCCTGTTCATGCTCCCTGTTCTGGCCCTGGCCATGACTGTGGATGTGTGCAGTGGCCCTGCCTGCCAGGCCCCAGGGGTGGGATAGAAGGTCAGCAGGAGGGGAGGCTCCTGGGGGTTGGGCTAAAGGCTGCAGACCTGAGTGTACTTGGCCCTGTGGGTTACAGCTGAGTGGCTGGAGGATGGGGAGAAGGGCCGCAGGTGGGATGTGAGAAAGGAAGAGTTCTTCCACACAGTGAGTGGCAAAGGGGAGGTGGCAAAGGGGATGACTGCTGTGAGGAAAGGGGTAAGATTAAGATCCAACTGTGGGGCTGAAGATGGGGGTGGGGGACGCGAACGGTGGGCACTGGGTCGGAGGGGAGTTAAGCCCTAGGCTGGGGCCTGGGGTGTGGTTCCCCAGTCTCCTGGGCTGGCGTGCAGCCGCGAGCGAGAGCACGGGGAGCGGGTTCTGGGCGCCTGGCTCAGCTGCCGCGAGCGCCCGGGGCGGGAGCCGCCTGCCCAGGTCCTGTGGGGCTCGGGCTGCGCGCGGCCGGGAGAGGAGAGGAAAACAACAGGCGGGGAGGAGGGAAGCCGAAGGGAGCGGGAGCTAGGGACGCGGGGTCCGCCCCCCGCCTGGACCGGCTCCGCGCGCTGAGAGACCTACAGCCCGGGGCCCTCTGGGTCCCCGAGGTCAGGAAAAACGTCTTTCTTATTGCAGCCCCGCGCTCCCCGACCTGGCCGGTCACCAGCTCCACAACCCACCCTCCACTCCCCTTCCGCGCGGCCGGGGACCTGGGAAGGGGTCGGGTAACCTTCGGCGACCTGGCTGCCAGCCTTTTCCCTAGAGCTGGTCGCACCTCCAGCCACCAGCGGCCGAGTGGGTGGGCCAGCCAGGCACCGGCTCTCCGCCCCTATTAACCCCTTGTGTGCTGTCTCCGGCCTCGGACCCGCCCTCTCCCCCAGTCTCCAAGCGTCCCCTCCATCCCCGGGATGTTGGGGGGAAGGGAGAAAGTTTCTGGGCTCAGATGCTTCCCGCGCTCTCCCCCAGTCCTCCGAGCCCCCGCCCTCCGAGCAGCTCCCCGCGGACCGCTCACCAGATAGAGGCTGCCCTGCACTAGGAACACGAAGCAGCAGCGAGTCAGTTGCATCCTCCTTTGCTCTCGAGCACCTTTCTCTCCTCTTTTCCTCTCGGGGGTCCCAGGCCCCTGTCTCACCCCTGCTCTTTCAGGCGCGCTGTCCCATGTTCCAGTCGCCGGCGACTCGCGGCCCTCGCTTTTGCCAGCCACCCGGGACCGACCCCGCCCCCTTCGGTCCAGCTGTGCAGCCGCCGCCCCTTTTCCCCGGTCCAGCTGCGCGCGGCGCGGCCCCTTCTCGAGGTCCCAGATGTGCACCCCGAGATCCTCGAGGGGTCCCAGTTGCGCGGTGGCTTTGCCGCCCCAGATCTGCGCTCGGCGCTCTCCTCGGTTACAGCGGCGCCGCTCTCGCCCAGATGTGCTGGGGACCCGCGCGCGCGCCCGTCCCTGGTGCTAATTCCCCAGACCAGACGGCCCCTCCCGCCCCGTCGCGGCGCGCCCCCTAGCGGACGCCCCTGGCCGCGCGGTGCTCTGCCGCCGCTCCCCGCGCAGCACCCGCCAGACTGGAGCGCTCCTGGCGCCCGGTCGGCTCCCGCTTCCTCGTCCCTCCCACAGGCGGCGGCGGCGGCGGCGGTGGCAGGTACCGTGAGCCCAGCCGGTACCTCCGGAGTTAACTCCTCCCCTGCCGGCCTGCAGCCGGAGGACCCAAGACAAAGGGGGCAGGACGCGGGGGCGGAGTAACTCTTGGCTAGGCAAGGAGAGAGTGGTGGCCCAGGGGTAGGGACCCTACCTTCCCTACCCCTCTAGTAGGGCGCTAGCTCCGGCGCAGTGGGCTTTGGGCATCTGCTGCCCTATCCTCAACCCCAGGAGACCTGGAATTTGGAAAGATCATTTCCCCCAAACCCATCCCAACAGTCAAAAAAGAATGCCTTCCTTATTGCAGGCTCTCCCCATAGTGGAAACTCCACTTTCTGTCTGCAAGACTTGCTTTTGTGCTGAGGGAAGTTCTTCTGGGTGTCTAGCCTGTACTCCTTTTGTTATGTCAGTTTCTTTCCTCTTCTACTTTACTCAGAGGGGCTGGGATAACTATCTTCCCCCCACTCCCCATCTCAGTCCAGTCAATGTGACAAGGACCTTTTGGCTAAAGCCCTGGGCTGAAAAGGCCACTAAAGGCCAGACTAGATTCTAGGGCTGAGGTCGGGGGTAAGCCTCTTGAGAAGGTGGGGAGTGAGGTGGGAAAGGCCTCTGCGGAAGCTTTCCATCCATTCTTCACTCCTTACCGGTTCTATGACTCAGGGAGTCACCAGACTGGGAGGTGGGGCTCCTCCTATTCTATAGGGTCCCTGGTTATCTTCCAGGGCAAGGAGGAAGAACAGGACCCTGATAAGAGGCTCCCAAGTGGGATCCATCCCCTACACCCCTCCTCCTCCCCGCCCCCCACTAATTTCCACTTTTCCTTCCTGGGATTTAGGGCCCCTTAAGGTTTTAGAAAAGGCAAAGATCAGGTCCTAGCACCCTTTAGAGGCTGTGAGAATGAGGAGGTATCCCAGCATTGGGAGTGGCCCCAGCCTGGGCTGGACCCATGGGGTCCACTGGGTGGGTACTCTGCTCTGTGGCCCTCAAAGCTTAGTCTCTGGCTGCAGCCCCCAGCAGGCACCCAGCCTCCTCCCCCACCATCTGCCAAGCGGGTGCGTGGAGAATGCAGATGAATCTTAATACCAGCCTGGGCCAAGTGCAATGAGGGAGACAGCTTCTGCAGAACCCAGACAGCATCACAGAGCCCCCTGCGTTCCCCAGGTGCGCTGGGCGGTAGCAGGTACAGCAGCCCTTCTCAAGTGGTGGTTGGGGGCATGCATGTCTAGTCAAAGACCCCAAAAGCCAGGGGAGGAAGGAACAGATAAATCCTTGTCTGGCCTTGGAGCCTCTGGTCCAGCTGGGAGGAAGAAGCTGTCGGCCTGAGCGTGGGCAGCTGGTTCCGGCACTCAGCTAGGCAGAGGCATAGCTGGGCCCACTCCTTGTCCGTCTCCAGAAGGTCCTGGCCCCAGGAGAGCAGTGTGGCCCAGCAGAAAGAGCACAGCTCTGCAGGCCAGGCAGCCCTGGATTCCACTCCAGGCCAGGCTGTGTGACCTTGGGCAGGTTGCTTTGGTTCTCTGATGCCAGTTTCCTGATCTGTTGTTGCAAGAACTAAGTGAAACGAAATGTATAAACAAAGCGCAGGCACAATGGCTGGCAGGCAGCCGTGGGAGTGCAATAAAGGGAAGTTCTCGCCTTTCTACTTCCCACACATTTGCTTTGGCTGCGCCTCCTGCCAGGCTTACCCTCACCGGCCTCTTGGCCATTCCTGGCTCTCACTTCCTTCAAGCTTCCCCTCTGCATTCATCCATCAACCACTAACGGAGCCTGTCTTCAGCATCAGGCACCAGGCCAGGGGCTGGGATACAGAGATGAATGGGACACCATCCCTGCCCTCAAGGATCTCGCTGGCTAGTGTGGAACTGAGACATGGAAATCAATGATTATAACTCAGTGTGGTGAGTGGAATAACAGATTCCTGTACCAGGCATTATGGATGCATCAAGGATGGTGGGGACTGGAGCAGCGAGGGTCAGGGATGGCTTCGAGGAGGAGGTGATGCCACACTTGTGAGGAGGAGTCAATCAGGCAAGGGCTATTCCTGGCAGGGGGCACTAAGTAGCCAAAGGTCCGGAGGCTAGAAGTGGAAGCAGTTTGAGTTACTAGAACACAGAGGGGAGGGGAGGACGCTAGTGCAGAAGGCTGGGACCAGCTGACGGAGGGTCTTACGTGTCATGTCAAAGGGTTAGGAACTCTGTTTATGATGACCCTTTGAAGGGTTCTAGGGGGCTGGTGATTATAGTCAGATTTGCATTTTAGGAAGCTTTTGGAGAATTCACTGGAAAAAGGAGAGACTAGAGGGAGGGAACCAGTTAGGAGATAAGTGCAATGATCTAGGATGAGAGAGGGGGGGAGACTAAAGACATCTTTAGGAGGCAAAATAATCAGGAGCTGGTTGTTGTTGACATGAGGGAGGAAGGGAGAAGGGAGTCAATATGATACCCAAGTTTCTGGCTGGGGCAATAGGAGTGATGCTTGCTGAGCTGGGCACCACAGGTGGGGGCAGAAAGGTGGGTTCTGGGGTTAGGGTGGTAGGGTCAAGCTTTGGTCCTGTCAAGTCTGGGTGCTCTTGGCCAGCCCTGGGCAAAAGAAAGTGTAGCCTGGAGGCACTGGAGGTGTGGATGTACAAGAAGAGCAAGGAGCTTGGATGGGGAACCCTGGGCACCCTGGCATTTAAGGGATGGGCAGAGGAAAAACAGCCCCCAAAGGACCACAGGCAGGAACAGGCAACCAAGGATAAGGAGGGCAGATGGGCTGGTCCTGGAAGCAGCAGAAGTGGTGGGCTCCCCCACCTGAGTGTACCAAACAGAGTGGGGTTATTGTACACACAGATTCTAGGGTCCCACCCTGCGAGCCTTAGTCGGTAGGTGGGAGCCCAGGACCATGTATTTTTATAAGCTCCTGCCTCTGTCCCAGATGATGCCAATGGAGGTAGCCTCCGGACTTCACTTTGATAAATTCTGATATGTGGGGAGAGTCAGGAAAGAAGGACTGAGCAGCAGCTCAAAAGAGCAGAGTAGCCTTGGAAGGTAGAGACAGAACAGAGAGCACTGGGTTTGGCCAAAATGCCTCTAGCAAGTGTACCCAACCTCGGTTCCTGCAGCTGCTCCCAGGGTGGGAAGACCACACAGCTGTGCTGGAAGTAACCCCAGGCATGTCTGCCATTCAGGCTTACCTCTCCGTGTTCCCCACCATGCCCTGCACACAACAGATGCTCAATGAAGGGGTCAGGACTCAATGCACTAGTACCACCCCTCAGCCCCCAGCCTCTTTGACCCCCACTTGCACCCTGGATGTGGCTTGACTGGGCATTCGCTTAGCATCTCCGGTGCTTTCACCTGTTTCTCTCTCCCTTGGAGGAATCCTGTCTATTTCCCCTCCCCACTCCCTGCCTTTCCAGTGCTGCAGGAAAGAAAACACAGTAGGCCTGATCAGTGCTTACTAAATGAATGGAAAATGGGGTTCCCGATGGTTTAAAAGGCAGAGAGTGGATGCCCTTCAGCTAGCTGGAGCAGAGGTCCAGGGGTAGAGGCCAGAGAACATCATTATTGTTAATTATTCATGTTTACCTGGCAATTTGCAATTTTAAAGTGTTATCATAGAGTGCTATGTAGGGGGGACTAGCAGAGTCCAGAGGGGAGCCCTAATTCAAATGAGGGGGCCACAGACAAGTCCCAGAGAAATTAGTCTTGTGATATGTGGATCACCCCAGGTGTGGTGGAGGGGGTGGGAGGGAAGAAAAGAACCTTCCAGGCAGAGGAAGCAACTCATGCAAAGGCCAGAGATGAAAGTAAGCCTGGGAATGGGCTTCTGATGAGGACGAGATGAAAGGATCATTTGTTCCTCAAATAGTTATTGAGTGTCTACTTTTATGTCAGGTCTTGGGCTGGGTGTGGGGATACAGCTGTGAACGGAGAGGCTGCAGTCCTTATTTGCATGGAGAATTTGGGCTATGGGAAAGACGGGGATTACATAGCTAAGCACAAGAAAACACAAGCTCTGAGATGTTGGCAAGTGGTATGAAAGAACATCAAGCTTTGAGCCAGAGACACTAAGAAGAGATCCCAATTTACCTGGGAGGGGTCAGGGAAAACTCTGCAAGGTGTGACACTTCAGCTGGGAGTGTCTATGGAGGCCTTAGCCAGACAGAGCTGAGGGAGGGGTCTTCCAGGCAGAGGGAACATGCTAAGACCCTGAAACTATGAAGAGTTTAGTATTTTGGAGAAGCTGAAGGAAGTGAGTATAGTGAAACAGAGGGGAGTGAGACACAGAGACAGAGAGGTGGGTGGGGAATGGATCAAGGGCTTTCTGGATCTAGTCAATAAGGTTTTGGGTTTCATCCTGTGATTAAGGTGCTTTTGTTTTTTTTTATTTCAAGTTTTGAATGGGTCAGATTTGCACTTTAGAATGATCACGGGAAAGATCACTCTGATTGCAGTGTGGAGGGTGGATTTGAGAGGATGGGTGAAACGGGGGGACTGGAGGTGATGGTGGCCTGAATTGGGGCAGAACATCAGGATGGGAGGAACCAATGGCCTTGAAGGACGTTTAAGGGGTGGAATGGAAAAGAGTTAGACTGCAGGAGTCTAACTGGGGTTGGAGAAGAGTTAGACTGGGGTTGAGGAGTCAAAGATGACCTCCAGTTTTCTGAGCTGAGGACACAAGACAAAGAGCACATGTGCAGGGGGCGATGCAGCGCCCTGCCCTGGACCGGTGGAGTATACAGGGTGCTAAGGTGCACAGTTGAATAGCTGGGTGCAGAATGGAGCTCTGACTAGAGGGGGCAAGACTGGGAGGTGTATGAGCCTCCAGAATCATCAGAGGTGAGATTGTGAAGAGCTTGCAAAGGACAGAGCACAGCAAGGGTGCAAGATGGGGCTGCCGGGGCCAGTCATGTAGAAAGAAGTGAGGGGAGGAGAGGGGACACCAGGCGGGGAAAGGGCAAGCGAACCAAGAAAGCAGGTGTGAAACCCCTGGCTCTGAAGGTCCTCAGGGAAGCTGCCCACTAACACCCCAAACCCGCATGCCTCAGGCTTTGAGAGGTCATTTTGTCTATGTCCCTGCCTCTCACAGGACTCACCAGCCGGGATGAACCTTCTCCTGCCTGTAAGGCTCCCACCTATCTCTCCTAGAGTGGGAAGGGCAAGGACGTGGAATCCAGCAGCCCTGGCTTAGGAGTCTAGCTCTGAGATCTGCTTTCA